TTATTGGTTTGATTTGGTGTAACATTTTATGTAGATCACAAATATTAAACCAATTAAAACAAACTTCCATCATGCTAGCCCCGTCCTCTTTCCTCTCCTCTACTCCTTCGTAACCTTTATTTTTTTTAATTATTTTTTTTTATTTTTATCTTTTCAAACAAGATTACAAAAATTAACGAATTTAATGTTATAATGAACTTGTGATTTTTACATATTTGTTATTACGGAGTATCCTTCTTTGAACCGAGAACTTTTCAACAGGAATTAAATTGATTGAAATTTTTTTTTTATAAAAAAAAGGACTGTGGCATTTAATTAGGAAAACATAGATGATTTTTATAAACCTCCATATTCACCAGCGGCTTCAACGTTACCACCAGTACCACCGTCAAATGCACCATTAAATCCATTACCGGCAAATTTAACGCAATATTACAAACAATGTAGGATTAGTTATATTCATATTAAATCAAACGCAGTATAACCTAAGGAAAGATCCATGTGAAACTGTCCTGACGTTACAAATTACTTGATTTGATTGCCAAATGTTAACATTGACCTACGGTGAATCGGTATTAAGCTGCTTCGTTAGGAATGTTGAAGCTTATAATGGTCATGCTGATGTTTATTGTGAACTTACCGATCACGGTTAAGCCAATGTGAATTTTCAAGAGAGTTCTTATAAAACCGCTCTATGAAGGCTACGTTGAAACTGCTAAAGTGTTACTAGCTCGAGGTGCAAGTGTGTACATTTCAGACAAGGTGCGATCTCAATTTCTTTTGTCTTTATTTGTATTAATTTCTCTTTATCTTTAAAATAAAAAAATTAAATGTATGGATGGACCGCGTTAATGTTCGCTTCTTTTTCTAACCGTGTAGAAATGTGACGGTTGTTGTTGGAGCATGATACAGACAGATTTGACTTGGCAAATATGATCGAAAATAACGTTCCAATAATTATAATCATAATTATATTATTAATTATAATAATCTAAATTATAATAATTATAATAATAAACCAATTCCGCCTTCCCTCGAGTGGAATATCCTTTCAAGGAGTACCAGGAAGGTTTCCTACAACGATACCGCAACAACCAATTTAACAGAATATTTTGATTCAAAACATTTATCCAATCAATCAATAATACAAAAGCAAAAAGATATTTGATGCCATTAAATCGTAAAGATTCAAGACGTACAATAATACAACATAAGAAACGGATCTTGTTAGTTCTCAATATTGTCATATTACGGGAACAATAATATAGACGATGGGAAAAATCATGTAAAGACAGCACCACATTTAAAAAATGACATGGCTCCGAGAGAGAGTAAAACTCCTTTGGTATTATTTTCATTGGCAGTCATGGCATGTTTTTGTAATCCTTGCCTTCTCACCATTGGTAAGATGAAAGATCCCAATGTGCGTCAAGCTTGGCGTGAAAAAATGGCTTTGGTGGTTATTATATTATTAATTTCATCATTCATGAGATTTTGGCATTCGGTTTGGCAACCATCACTTGTGGAACAAGGAGACAAAAGTTTTTAAGGAAGATGTATTTTGAAAAATTTGGGACCGGGTCAAAAGTGCATATTATTCATGGCAAACTCTATAATACTGGACAATATATATTTTTTGGTAGTCATCGTCCGTTAACGCCTCCTATCGAAGATAAAAATCAGAACCAATAATATTTCCAACGTTTGGACAAGATATCTCGGATTATTTTCCTCTAGGCTACCAATGTCCTTTTGCCACTAAATGATGGACCATTTGCTATATGGCGATTGAAACGAAAAATCCATTATTATATTGTCATACTTCCACAGATTAAAGGAACTAGATGTGAAAAATAAGCGTTACTTATTAATGGCAAAAGATAACCAAAGCTAACACCACCTTATTTGTTTATAGTAATAAGGTATATGATTTAGGAAACTATTTTGATCCTTCAAATGAGGATAAGTTGCTTGGAGATGATAGCGTTACAGAATGGCTTCGAGGTCTCCTCGGTAAAGATGAACAAGAGAGATTCTTCACACAAGGAGATATCAAACGTTTACCTAATTTTAATTCAGGAGACGTTGAAGGAACAACCATCGGATGTTTCGCGAATAGTATAATGACAGTCGTATTCACAGGAATTCTTTAATCAAATTCATTTCCGCTATAGCATTTGATTGGTTTCTATCATTGCAGCTTGATAAAATATCGAAGATGATACGACATCACACCTTTTATTATTAGTCACGTGTTATTAGGAAGGTGAACATACAATGCACACAACACTTGATTCATTGACCAGTACGGATTATTCTGACAAGCACAAATTATTAATGGTAATCGCTGGTGGTGACATAACCGGATCAGATAACGATAAAACAACGGAGATATGCGAGGATTTAATTGAAACATTCAATTTATCTAGTTTCGAGTCTCCGACACCACAGTCATATTTAGCCGTAGGAGAAGGTAAAAAGCAACACAAATTATCGGATATAATTGTAATGGACATCATGTTCCAATTTGTTTTATTAATAAAGATGGCACACCAGAAGAATGAAAAGGGCTTAAAGCCGGTAATCGTGGTAAACGAGATTCACAGCTTATATTAATGAAATGGCTTAACAATATATTTTTTAACGAACGTATACACCATTGGAATTCGAATTATTTGAAAAGGTACGAACATTAACGGGAGTACTGCCTTATAAATACGAGATGATATGTGATCGAAGAATTTTTTCTGGGTGCTCTTGGGGTAATTAGTTTTGATGGTGATCTTGTTACACCATAGTGATAGTGATCAGAAGTTGTTGTGTAATATCTAGTTCTTTATATCTATTACGCGTCGCGTTTAAACTTTTATAAAAGTCAATTTACTTATTGATCTCAATCCTCTTTGTGGGCTATAAAATCAAAAATCGAAAAAAAAATAAACAAAATTATTAATCAATAATTATTAATTAATTAACTTATTATTAATTAAATCAATAATCAACAATAGGAATAGACAATACATAATAGTGGAAAAAAAACAATTTCATATGCACCTGACTGTGCCGTCGCGGCAGATCCAAATCTTTTTTTTTGGTTGAAAAAAAATAATATTTAAACAACCTTTATTCCTTGAGGTAGATTCCTCTCCTACCTACCTTTACCTTATCCTCTATCTCTTAGTGTTAGTGTTAGTATTAGGTAAAAATAAGAATGGCCGGTCGTTGGAGTTACACGAAACGTCTAAAAACTAAAAAATTTTTTACCGTAACACAGATCCTCTTTTAATACTATAAATTTCTCGTGCTGTGCCTCACATCACATACATACAAACGGTTACATTCTGCAAGTAATTTGATTAAAATAATAAAAAGCTTATTTTTATAAATTATAAAAATGTCTAATAATAATTATAAAGGTAATAAAGAAACTAAAATATTTTCATCAAACAAGAAAAAAGAAGAAAAGGAATGAAGCTTCGTATGACTAAAATTAGTTAATTTGACGGTTTGATAATATTCTAATCTTTTTTTTTTCGTGAATTTATATTAGAGCCAGTTTCGGATGTTAAAAAAGCTTACTCATTAGAAGGTAATATATACCGTTAATTATACTCATTTTTGTTTAAAATTCAAAAATAGAAACAGTTTTAATTGATAAAGGTAATACAACTAATATTAATTTCAAAAATAAATATTATAATAGAATCAGATTCAGATACTCCTACGTTAAAAGAATTAAATAGTAATAAACTTATTATCTATTATTTATTTATATAATTATTTTAATAATTAATATTTTTTTTTTAAAAAAATTTAATAATAATAATACTTAGATTGTAAACAATTTAACTTTATTATATTTTAATTTTAAATTAAATTAATTTATATTTAAAAAATATTTAATAATCAATAATATTTATAGGGAGTAAGTTATTTATTTTTTACGTTATAATTTAAACTTAATTTATTATATAAAAATTTTAATGCTAATTAATGATCTTTTAGTTGGTAAATTATTTATATTTATAATTTTTGCCTAATATTTATTATAATTTATAAATAAAATTTTATTAAAAATAAAATATTAATAATTTAGACGGTAAATTATTTTTATCAATTATTTTTATATTTATTATAATTTATATCAAAAATATTAATATTCTTTATAATATTATAGAAAGTGAGATATTAATTAATAATAATATTTTTTATTACAATTTAAAATCAATTAAATTTTTATTTAAAAAAATAAATTAATAATATAATAGATGGTAAGTTATTTTTATTTGATTATCAGTATTTAATTACACTTGTTACTATAATTTAAAGTCAACTAAATTTTTTATTTAAAAAAATAAATTTTATTAGAGAGTAAGTTATTTTTAATGATTATCAGTATTTAATTATACTTATTACTATAATTTAAAGTTAACCAAATTTTTTATTTAAATTCAATAGATGGTAAGTTATTTTTATTGATAATTAGTATTTAATTACACTTGTTACTGTAATTTAAAGTCAACTAAATTTTTTATTTAAAAAATAAATTTATTAGTTTGTAAGTTATTGATTATCAGTATTTAATTACACTTATTACTGTAATTTAAAGTCAACTAAATTTTTTATTTAAAAAATTCTAT